CAGGCATTGGCTCTCCAGCCCCCTCCCTGCTCCAGGCGCCCAGCGGGCAGGCATGTGCTCGGAGGCGCTAGAGAGAGCTGGCTCTGGGCGCCCTCCAGCTGCCCACCTCGGCCCCCAGCCGCCTCCCCAGCCTGCAGCACGCCAGCAACCCAGCACCGCCGGGGGGGGACAAGCCAGCTGCTGGTGCTCCTCATGGGATGCCTGGGGCTGGCTTCCGAATTCCAGAAAAGCCGGTGCCAGGGTTCATCTGTATAGAGCAGCCGGGAGCGAGACAGAGGTGGGGCATGAAAGACAGGGAGCTCTTGGGTGGAAGTGTGGTCTGGTGGTTAGAGCAGCTGCATGAGCATCAAATGACCTGGGATCTCTTCCCAGCTTTGCTGACTGAGTGTGACTCTCTGGCCCTGGCCCCTCCCCGTCTCTGAAAGGAAACTAACCTACTTGCTTTGAAGGGGCATGGAAGGCACTATGGGCTAGTGGTTGGAGCACAGACAGGCTTGGGCATCAAGCAAGCTGACTGCTTGTCCCCAGCTCTGTCACTGTAGGGCAGCTCCGCCTTCTCAGTGTCTCAATTTCCCCATATGTAAATTAGAGGTGGTGGCTCCGCACTCTTCGAGGGCTACATGTGCACAAGCACCGCCGGCTCCATGCTGCCATGAGCTGCCATGGTGGACGGGGTGTGGACTCTTTTCTTTGCTTCCCCACGTCCATATGCCCAGACGGGACTCAGAGGGCTCCTCCCCCTCTCTCTCCCTCTCTCCTCCTTCCAGCTGGACAAGATGCTGGACCCGCAGGTGTGGCGCGAGGCGGCCACCCAGGTCTTCTTCGCCCTGGGCCTGGGCTTCGGCGGCGTCATCGCCTTCTCCAGCTACAACAAGCAGGACAACAACTGCCACTTCGATGCCACGCTCGTCTCCTTCATCAACTTCTTCACCTCTGTGCTGGCCACCCTGGTGGTCTTCGCCGTGCTGGGCTTCAAGGCCAACATCATGAACGAGAAGTGTGTGGTGGAGTACGTGGGCATTTCTCTGCTCGGCCCGGGCGCGACCCACCCAAAGGGGGTGCATCTTGTAGGCCCCTCAGAGGTTCGGCGCCTACGTGCCATTGCGGGGCTGGGCTCCATTCTAGACAGGCGTTAAAGGCTCATACTGAGGCCTGCCAACGGGGAACGGGGCAGTCGCCCTGGGGCCCAGCGATTCACAAAGGCCCGGGGCTCCTGGCCATTGCTGGTGCTACTGTGGTGGCTGGAGTCCCGGGCCCTTTAAATCACTGCCAGAGCCCTGGATGATGTGCTCAAGGTGAGGCCCCACCCCTTCCGGAGCATGGAGCCACTCCCTGCTCATGTGCTCAGGCCCCGGAGGTCCCAGTTCAGTCCCCACTCGTACGCCACGGGAAGGAAATGATCCCTACGGGACTGAATGAAATCCAAGTACCTGGGTGGTGCAGCCGCTGTCCTGGGCCTGGCCCGGTCCCGACTGGGAGGTCTGTGGGGGTGATTCAGTGGGGGAGGTGCCCCTTCTCTAAGTGCCCAGCTCCCATCTGCTCCTAATAAATACTCTGGAGACTGAAGCACAACGCTGAGGCCTCAGCCTGGCTAATTCCACTCTAAACTCCTCCTCCCTGTCAGCTGGAGACGGGATTCTCTCCCTTTCTGCCCTCATCTGGCGTCCCCCGCCGTGCTCGTCCTATGGACAACCCCTTTGGTCCTGTACCCCCCCCCCCGAGTGGCTCTGGCTTTGCTCCCTAGGAACGCTGAGAAGATCCTGGGCTACCTCAACACCCATGTCCTGAGCCACGACCTCATCCCGCCCCACGTGAACTTCTCGCACCTCACAGCCAAGGACTACAGCGAGATGTACCACGTGATCCAGACGGTGAAGGAGGGCCACTTTCAGGAGCTGGACTTGGACCCCTGCCTGCTAGAGGATGAGCTCAACAAGGTGCTTGCGGGGTGGTTCTAGGGGTTGGAGCTGTAAGCAGCTGTCGTTGGGGCAAGGGTGGAGGTGTAAGCTGCTGTAGTTGCAGCAGGTGTAAGCAGCTGTAGTTGGGGCGGGGGTTAAGCGGCTGTCTTTGGGGCGGGGGCAGGTGCTAGTGGCTGTCATTGGGGCGGGTGTAAGGAGCTGTTATTGGGGCCGGATGTAGGTGTAAGCGGCTGTCATTGGGGTGAGATGCAGGTGTAAGCAGCTGTCATTGGGGCGGGTGTAAGGAGCTGTTATTGGGGCCGGATGTAGGTGTAAGCGGCTGTCATTGGGGTGAGATGCAGGTGTAAGCAGCTGTCATTGGGGCGGGTGTAAGGAGCTGTTATTGGGGCCGGATGTAGGTGTAAGCGGCTGTCATTGGGGTGAGATGCAGGTGTAAGCAGCTGTCATTGGGGCGGGTGTAAGGAGCTGTTATTGGGGCCGGATGTAGGTGTAAGCGGCTGTCATTGGGGTGAGATGCAGGTGTAAGCAGCTGTCATTGGGGCGGGTGTAAGGAGCTGTTATTGGGGCCGGATGTAGGTGTAAGCGGCTGTCATTGGGGTGAGATGCAGGTGTAAGCAGCTGTCATTGGGGCGGGTGTAAGGAGCTGTTATTGGGGCCGGATGTAGGTGTAAGCGGCTGTCATTGGGGTGAGATGCAGGTGTAAGCAGCTGTCATTGGGGCGGGTGTAAGGAGCTGTTATTGGGGCCGGATGTAGGTGTAAGCGGCTGTCATTGGGGTGAGATGCAGGTGTAAGCAGCTGTCATTGGGGCGGGTGTAAGGAGCTGTTATTGGGGCCGGATGTAGGTGTAAGCGGCTGTCATTGGGGTGAGATGCAGGTGTAAGCAGCTGTCATTGGGGCGGGTGTAAGGAGCTGTTATTGGGGCCGGATGTAGGTGTAAGCGGCTGTCATTGAGGTGAGGTGCAGGTGTAAGCAGCTGTCACTGGGGCAGGGTGTAGGTACAAGTGGCTATAGTTGGGGCGGGGTACAGGTGTAAGCGGCTGTCATTGAGGTGAGGTGCAGGTGTAAGCAGCTGTCACTGGGGCAGGGTGTAGGTACAAGTGGCTATAGTTCGGGCGGGGTGCAGGTGTAAGTGGCTGTCATTGGGGCGGATGCAAGTGGATCACAGCTGATGAGAGACCTTCTTCTCCCGGTGCAGTCCGTGCAGGGCACCGGCCTGGCCTTTATCGCCTTCACCGAAGCCATGACCCACTTCCCCGCCTCTCCGTTCTGGTCCGTCATGTTCTTTCTGATGCTGATCAACCTGGGGTTGGGCAGCATGATTGGGACCATGGCCGGCATCACTACCCCCATCGTTGACACCTTCAAGGTGCGGAAGGAAGTGTTCACAGGTGAGGTTCTCTGGCCCTTGCGCCTGGGGCCGGGTGGGGGACTCCGGACGGACCGGAGACACAGCGTTGGCTGGCCTGCGAGGGCCTATCACACCCCACACAGGGGGCTTGAAGGAAGTTCCCCTCCAGCAAGGCTAGGATGTCCCACAAGCCCATACAGGCCCCTCCGCTCTCTGGCTGTGCTGTAGGAATGGCCCAAAGTGAGCCCGAAATGGGACGGAGCCAGAGTAAAACTGGGGAGGGGAGGGGGCTGAATTTGGCAGGGCAGCGAGAGGGATGGGCCTTTGGATCTGGTGAGCCCCTGGCTATGTAGGCCCTGGACACCTTGGGCAGTTGCTGGGAGCTGGCTGGGAAAGCGACGACTTTTGCTTCCTTCTGCTCTTGGGAGCTCCCGGCTGCGGGATAACACTGAGGCAGAACGTGTAAGTAACTAGAGAGGGCCCGAACCAGAACACCAGATCCAAACCCTCAGGGCTCCTCTGGATCTGGACGAAGGGCCCAAGCAGAATTTTTCAGGGCTCAGTACAAACCTGTGACACGGGCCCGCTCCCGCCCACGCCTGGGCTGGGCCCCCACAGACCCCCAGGGCCTCCAGGCCTGGCTAAAGGGCTCCCTTTTCTCTCCCCCATCTGGGGGCTGTATCTGGGCTTGTAGTGGCCTCAGCATTTAGACTGTTTTGGACACACACGCTGCCTTCTCCCTTTGCCCCACACACTCACCCGTAGCTCCCCTCAGTGCATTGAATGATTTCAGATGAACACACACCACCTGTCCCCAGGAAACCCAAAGCAGAGGGGGATGAATTGTGGGGGGGGAGGGGCACTAGACTGGCCTCTGTTCCTGGCTCTGTCACTGACTAGCTCTTGCCACGTGAGCAAGTCACGTTGTGGCTCCATGCCTCAGTTTCCCCTCTGCCCTTTGTCTTTTAGAAATTCTTCAGGGCAGGGCTGTCTCTTACCACACACCCACACAGGGCCTCACGCGAGGGGGCTTGATCATGGCTGGGGCTTCCACGTGCTGCTGTAATGCCGGCCACTGCAATAATCAACTTCCCATTCTTGTCTGAGAACCGCTGGACCAGCCGTCCTCCTCCGGCAAGTGATCGCACAAGGACTGATCCCAGAGCTGAGAGCAGAGCCCGAGCAGAGACCGCAGCAGAGACCGGTCCACTAGCGTAGGGCTGCAGCCACAGCGGCCTCAGGCTGCCAGACTCAGTGGCACAGGGGACTGTGCGCCTCTTTCCTGCCCCAGCCACAGGTGGCAAGGTGCATCCGTTTCAGGGGGAACTAGAGCCCCCCCTCCCTCCTCGCTGTGCCTTCCCGGGGGCAGCGATGGTGACCATGACCTTTGCTCTTTGCAGTTGGCTGCTGCATCGTGGCCTTCCTGATCGGCCTGATCTTCGTGCAGCACTCGGGGAATTACTTCGTCACCATGTTTGACGACTACTCCGCCACGCTGCCACTCACCGTCGTGGTGATCCTGGAGAACATCGCTGTGGCCTGGATTTATGGCACCAAGAAGTAAGACCTCGCGCCACGGCCGCCCGGCTCCCTAACCTCACGTGTGCTGGACAGGGGGTCCACAAAGCCACCTGCCTCCGTTCCAAGGTGGCACCCGTGTTAGGAGCCAGGACAGGCAAAGCTTGAGGGCGGAATTAATTTCTGCCCCTCTAATTCAGGGCTAGGACCAGAGCTAAGCTAGGCTGGAAAGCATTTGCAGAGGTCCAGGGGATTCCAGGAGTCAGCAGTGCGGACTTTCCCCCGCCCAGCTCTCCTCTGGCGCGTCGGAGCCAAGGGAAACTCTGGGCGGTTTCTCTGCACCTAAGATGATCTGGGACCTTGCCTCGGCTCACCCAGCGCATTGGTCACAACAGAGGTCGCTGGGGAGGAGTTTTCCACCTGACGTGGGGGAGGAGGTGATGTAGTGGGCAGGCACTGGTGGCTGTGTGGGCTGGGGTGACCCCTACTGGCCGGTACCTGTAGCTCTGCCCAGCAGGACGGCTGCCTAAGGCAAAGACCCAACCTGTCCCACCGGTTGAGGGCAGGCAGGGAACAAAGGAAGGGAGGTTTCGGGGGAAGGGGCAGTTTCTGGCTGGGAAACATGAAGGAAGCAGCCTTAGCTGAGGGCTGAGGGTCTAGTGATGACAATGGACCCCCTAATCCATTGGGTCTGAGGCATCCTGGCCCTGACTCCTGGAACCACCTCACGTCTGTGCTGTGCTGTGTCCTGGAGGAGCAATAACCCCCCTGTTCTACTGGCTGGCGGAGTCTCATCCTGCTGCAGATGGGGGGCAGGATCGGGGGGTACTCGACATGCCGCCACAGGGAGCACAAAGCAGGACTCTGGGGCTCCATCTCTTTCCTTCCAGGTTCATGCAGGAGCTGACCGATGTCACCAGGCTGCAGATGGGGGGCAGGATCGGGGGGTACTCGACATGCCGCCACAGGGAGCACAAAGCAGGACTCTGGGGCTCCATCTCTTTCCTTCCAGGTTCATGCAGGAGCTGACCGAGATGCTGGGCTTCCGGCCGTGCGTCTTCTACTTCTACGCCTGGAAATACATCTCTCCGCTCTGCATGGCGGTGCTCATGACAGCGAGCATCATCCAGCTCGGCGTCAGCCCGCCCGGCTACAGCGCGTGGATCCGGGAGGAGGTGAGTACGGAGCACCCCTGCACCGTCCCCTCGCTCCATCCTCACTGGCTCCTCGCGGTCCCTGCCAGGCCCTAGCAGACAGTGAGCGAAGGACCTCAGGCGTGGGCTGCAGGTTAGCGCCTGGCTGGGAGCCAGGATCATTGGTCCCCACCTGTACCCGGAAGCTCTCAGCTGCCTTTTCCTTCCTGCGTAGCCCACGTGGCAGCCAGAGCCAGGGGGTGAGGCGACCGGCTGCCGGGAAGCTTTTCCTTCCTGTGTGCAAGCAAGAAGCAAATCTAGAGTAGATGGATCTTTCTGTCCCCCCTTTCTCCTGACCCCCTCAACCTGCACTGCTGAGAACTGCCCCCGCTGTAGCTAGGAGAGGGGCTTACCAGTGCAACCGTTACCACAAAATCCCTCCCCCAGGAGAATGGAAAGGGTGGCACTAGCGTGAGACGCCAGCTGCGGCGGGGTGAGTCCGTGCACTAGTGCGTTCTCATGCGGCTTCACCTGCACGTTGCAGACCCTTAGATTTACACACGATTGTGCAACTCCCGCTTCAGCGGGGAGTTCTGGGGCAGCGGGCACAGGCGTCTGGGAGCCCCGCCTGGGGCTTCTGGATCATTTTACAGCTGGAGGCCACAGGCCAGGCGCTGATCTCAGTCCATCCTCTGGATGGATCGACTCCGCTCCAGTTCCTCCAAATTCACAGCAGCTTTGCAGACTTCCCTGGAGTGAGCCCGGTGTCACTGTGGCCCCTCCCACCTTGGTTCGGAGCCTCTCTGTTAAGTGCTGCTCTCGGCAGAGGACCCCGCGCCGCCTGCTCTGGAACGCCAGCTCCTCAGCATTGCGCCCCGGGAGCGTCTGGCCCGACAGCTCCTTCTTGGAAACAAAGCGGCAGCGGGGCCGTCCCGGAGCTGCCCTGCGCCCCTGGGGCTCGTTCCAAGGCACAGACATCAAGCGACTCCGCAGAGAGCTAGGCAATGAGCCAGAGCCAGACTGGGTCAGACAAAGGCCCGTCCAGCCCAGGGGCCTGTCGGCCAGCAGTGGCCTCGGCCCGGTGCCCCAGAGGGAGTGACCAGAACAGGGAATCCTCCCTGTCACCCATTCCCAGCCCCTGACAAACAGAGCCCAGGGACACCATCCTGCCCAGCCTGGCTACTAAGTATGTAAGTAACTTCCATGAATGTAGCCAGCTCTTTTTGGAAGCCCGTTAAAGCCCTGGTCTTCACCACGTCCTCCGGCGAGGAGTTCCACAGGCTGACTGCGTGTTGTGTGAAGAAAAACTGCCTTTGCTTTGTTTTAAACCTGCTACTTATTAGTTTCATTTGGTACCGCAGGGCCAGATTAGCCATGAGGCACGATAGGCACAGTGCCTAGCGCCTACGAAAAAGTTGAGGGCCTACAAACAAGGGGCTATGAATATTAGACATCTAGGTGCCAGGCACGTCTCCCTTATGTATTTATACATAATCTGATGTAAAGGCCTATGATTATGAGAGTGCTTTGGGCCTCCAAAGACCTCAACCCAGCCTTGGGTGACCCTAGTTCATCAGTCCTGCCTCCCTTGATTAGGTTCCCTTTATACAGCATGTCCTGGTCCTCTGTAGGACTGGAGGAGCAAGCCCTCGGGGAGCCTGACTTAACCCCACAGTGACACCGTGGAGGCACTGTCCCCACCCGCTGGAGTGACGCTGCCCCTTTCTCTTCCAGGCTGTGGAGAGGTTCCTCTACTACCCAGCGTGGGCCATGGCCATCCTCATCTCGCTCATCATTCTGGCCTGCCTGCCGCTGCCTGTGGTCTTCATCCTGCGCCAGTTCCACCTGGTGTCGGACGGCTCCAACGCCCTCTCCGTCACCTACAAGAAAGGCCGGATGATGAAGGACATCTCCAACCTGGAGGACAACGACGAGACGCGCTTCATCTTGAGCAAAGTGCCCAGCGAGGCCCCGTCCCCGATGCCCACGCACCGCTCCTACCTGGGGCCAGGGAACTCGTCCCCGCTGGAGCTGAGCGCTGCCCCCAACGGACGCTATGGGAGCGGGTACCACTTGGCCAGCACCCCTGAATCGGAGCTGTGAGGGCCGGCGCCAGCCACCCCCACCCCAGCGCCTTGGCGAGGAGGTGACGGGGGAACGGAACAAACAGACACAAAAGAAGAACCTTTTCCTAGAGCAAAGTGGGCAGCCGCTTCCCGGGCCTGGTTGGGATTCCCTCTCGGAGGTCTCCAGCCAGCACGGCGGCCCCTTCTCCGCTGCCCTTGGGAGCACACAGAGCAAGACACTGCAGTACGTGTTATCAGTGGGTTTGCAGAGAGATTCGCAGGGGAGTCCAACCACGCGCCTCTCGAGCCCCGGGCGCTCGGAAACGGGACGCACAAAGACGTTTCCTCCTAGGACCCGCAGTTCTTCCTCTAACGGGGAGAGGGCCTGGCCCCTATTGCACTGATCCCATTGGGCCAGTCCGGTTCACACACGATGGGCAGCCCTCTCCCAAGTGATGGCGGCACCTCCTCTGGATTTGGAGCACTGGAGACTCCCAAAGAGCCCCGCTTTACAGGCAGGCTGCATCGTGTGGACAACGCGGGAGAGTGAGTGGCAGCAACTGGCGCCCAGGGATCGTCCCCAGGAGCCGGGGCAGGGTCTCCACTCAAACTGCGTTCCACTGGGCGCACATGCCTGGTGACACTGGGCTAGACTAGGGGTGACCCCAGGCATCGCCCCGGGGTTTTGCAGCTGGGCTGGCTGCAAAACCTGCTTCGGAGCTTCGTTTCCAATGTGCTGGGCGGAAGAAAGGCAAGCAGTCCCCTAGCCCGCCGAGCGAGAAGCTGGGTTCTTGGTTCCAGTAACGCTCGAGTTCAGAGCCCGGGATCTAAACCCTGCCCTTATTTATACCCTGGTGGTCGTCGTGTGGGTGCCACGCACGCCGACCGTGTGTGTGTGTGTCTGTGTTCACTAGCCTCGTGCATCTACAAGTGAGGGTCCAAATTCCTCCCTGGTGCATCTCTGGGGATGTCAGTGGCCCGAACCCCGGGCGTAGCTGGCTCGGAGGCTCCAGCTGTGTTTGGGGGAGCGCTGTATTGTGCATTACGGGTCTCCCGTACCTGGCTGCCAGGTGTTGGTCTTTCTGCTTGGCTCCTGCAGCCAGAGGGCTACCCCATCTGTGGGACGGAGGGCCTGCATGGAGAGGCAGTAATTGTGGGGCTCTCCCATCCATCTGAGGCAACTAGGATCTGTCGGGGCCAATTAGGGCCCCGGATGGAGTCCTCACAGCCACTTGGGCAAGCTTTACTGATCCTGCATCTGGGCCCCTGGGGGCAGGGGAGGCTGCTGTCTCTCCAGCTCGCAATCCGCGGCTGCCCCAGCAGTGCACCGAGAGCCAAAGGCCCCTCGTAAGTTTCTAAGCTGCCCTGCCTGCTCCGGTGGCACGTGGAGCAGCTCGCTGGTTCCGTGCCAGCGCATAGCCTAGCCAGCCTTGCCTGGTCCATGCCAGGGCTATGAGCCCTTCTCCCCTTTCGCCCTTTGATTTCCTGCTCACAGGGCTCCACCCCCTCCGGAGCGAACAGGGAAAGACCGACGGGCTTCGTCCCTTTCCATACGCACCTTTTCTGCCCCTCGCGCCCTTTCTTCTGAGGCCTCCTTCATGCAGCTGGGGAGCCTCAAAATAACCATTTCCCATGAACTGAGCCCCGCAGGAGCCATTCTGCAGCTGGGGAAACTGAGGCACAGAGTGGGCCAGTGAATCTGTCTCCCTGCTCTAACAATCAGCTCTTCCCTCCATGAGGCTTCCCAAGCTATGGTCACATCACCCAGCAGCCTAGCTCCAGCGATGTCCTAGCTGTTACTCCAGTTTACACCAGCCAGCGGGCTTGTCTCGGGGGTAATTACACAGCTCGGCTTGGCCAGGCACTGCCTGCTCCCTTTCTCAGCCCAGTGTAAATCAGGAGTGATACCAATAAACCTGCCTGCCCCCCACCACCCTAGGCCAGGCCAGCCAGTGGTATCAATCGGTGTCACACCCCTGGAGTTACGGGGCAGAGCCCCAGGGGGTGTCAATCGGTGTCACACCCCTGGAGTTACGGGGCAGAGCCCGAGGGGGTGTCAATTGGTGTCACACCCCTGGACTACGTCTAGACTGGCATGATTTTCCGGAAATGCTTTTAACGCAAAAGTTTTCCGTTAAAAGCATTGTCGGAACAGAGAGTCTAGATTGGCACGGACGCTTTTCCACAAAAGCACTTTTTGTGGAAAAGCATCTGTGGCCAATCTAGACGCACTTTTGCGCAAAAAGCCCCGATCGCCATTTTCGTGATCGGGGCTTTTTTGTGGAAAACAAATCTGAGCTGTCTATACTGGACCTTTTGCGCAAAAGGACCTTTGCCCGAACGGGAGCAGAATAGCATTTCCGCAAGAAGCTGATTTCTTACAGTAGGAAGTCAGTGCTTCTGCGGAAATTCAAGTGGCCAGTGTAGACAGCTGGCAAGTTTTTCCGGAAAAGCAGCTGATTTTCCAGAAAAACTGGCCAGTCTAGACACAGCCTATAAGTTTGGGTTAAAACCCCCGGGGTGAGGTTCGGACCTGGGAGCTGACCTAGTTGAAGCCTTCTAATCGTAGGGCCTGGTTAAAGAACTTGCCTGCACTTACTGCAGCTGGGTGTGTCCCTTCCTGTATGTATGCTGGTGAGAGTGTAAGCTGGAGAAGGTTTGATAGTTTATCAAGCAATACAATGGAAAAGGGACGCCCAGCCTAGTGGATCAGGAAGCTCAGTGTTATCCAAGGATGTAAAATACTAGTCAACTATCAG